GAGGCAAGGCAACTGAGGGTCCAGGTCTCTCGGGGAGGAAGGTCAGGGTCCCTCCATCTGATAAGCAACCTTGCCTGGCCAAAATCCTGGCAGAGGCAAAGAAAATTTGGAAATGGAAGTAGAGGAAGAAAATGTTGGTTTTCATTACCTTCTAGGAATCAGGTACAACAGCACAGATTTTGACTTGTTCCTCTAGCCAACTGCTCTTAAATCTTTTTGGAGATAACTACTGGCCACCACTATGAAGGTGGATGGATTGGACTTAATGGAAAGCACAGGAAATGTGAATGGTGCAAGACACATATCTGAGATGAATTTTATAGGAAGCCAGAAAAATTGAACCTATGTCATGTGGAATAGTGGCTAAATCTATGATTTTCAGTGTTGTTTTTTTTCTTCCTTCTTTGATATCTTTTTGCCTTTTGGGGGGATCACTTCCCAAATAAACTACACACAAGTCTTTGTCTCATGTTGTGTGTTTAGAAGAACCCAGGTCATTTATAATGCATTTTAACACCTAGTCAAACTCACTAGAAAATAAGCTGAAACTAGAGTGATAAGTACTCAATAAACAGATTGCTAGGAGCTTTAGGTGTTTGATTGTTTTAGAGGTGGACTAGGTCTTTGCTTTATGCAAGGAGAAATGTTCAAAATAGGACCTCCACATAGAGCCTTTGGGGGCTACATCATCAGTGAAAGGGTGAGTTATAAAAAAGACCCATTACATTTTTATTTTTAATTTTTTCCACATTTTTATTGGTGCATTATAGTTGAGGTGGAATTAATTGTTGCATATTCATACATACACACAATAAAATGATATAATTTGGTCAATATGATTCCCCAGCACTTCTCCCCCTCCCTCCCTCCCTCCTTCCCACCCCTCGCTTCCTCTCCTTTACTGATCTCCCTTTGATTTCCATGAGATCCACTTCCATTTTTCTTTCCCTTTTTCCTCTCTAGCTTCCACATGTGAGTGAGAACACATGTCCTTGACCTTCTGAATTTGATTATTTTGCTTGACATAATCATCTCTAGTTCCATTCATTTTCCTGCAAATGACATGATTTCATTCTTCTTTTTTTTTTTTAAATTTTTTATTGTTGGTTGTTCAAAACATTACAAATTTCTTGACATATCATATTCCACACTTTGATTCAAGTGGGTTATGAACTCCCACCTTCACCCCATACACAGATTGCAGAATCACATCAGTTACACATCCATTGATTTACATATTGCCATACTAGTGTCTGTTGTGCTCCGCTGCCTTTCCCATCCTCCCCCCTCCCCCCTCCCCACCTCTCCCCTCCCCTCCCCTCCTCTCTCTCTACCCGCTCCACTGTATAACCCTGAGGGTCTCCTTCCATTTCCCTGCAATTTCCCTTCTCTCTCCCTTTCCCTCCCACCTCTCATCCCTGTTAAATGTTAATCTTCTTCTCCTGTTCTTCGTCCCTACTCTGATCATAGTTACTCTCCTTATATCAAAGAAGACATTTGGCATTTGTTTTTTAGGGATTGGCTAGCTTCACTTAGCATAATCTGCTCTAGTGCCATCCATTTCCCTGCAAATTCTATGATTTTGTCATTTTTTAATGCAGAGTAATAATACTCCATTGTGTATAAATGTCACATTTTTTTAATCCATTCGTCTATTGAAGGGCATCTGGGTTGGTTCCACAGTCTTGCTATTGTGAATTGAGCTGCTATGAACATCGATGTAGCAGTGTCCCTGTAGCATGCTCTTTTTAGGTCTTTAGGGAATAGACCTCCTAACCCTCAGCCCCTCATGCATACCTTCGATGCTCTGTACCACATTCTCTTTGTCTACTCTCTGCCAGGTTCTGATGGGTATACCTCCGGAGCTGGGCTTGAGTTTACTGCATCCTACCTCAAGGATGCTGTCAAAAGGTCTCTCTGTTTTTCTAAAGCTTTGGGACTTAAAGCCCCAAGGCAATTCCAATCACCAAAGAATAGGAGCTAGAGGGTAAATGCTCAGGCTCATGACTTTGAAATAACCATACGGGGAGGACTTTCCTAGCTTCTCAGAGATCATGGTGGTATTGTTCACCTGTGAACCTGTTGCCAATGGGAATGGCCTTTATATTACCTCCTCATGCTTTCCTGTCTCAGAAATCTCAGTTCTGTTACTCCTGTTTCCTCAGATAACCTTCCAAAGTAAAGTATCTGCATTTGAGGTATTTTATCAGGCTGTGCTTGGGGGTTTGGGAGAGGACCTCCACTAAGATACCTGCTGATTCCAGTTTTTCTCCATGGAAGAACATTCTATGCTTCTTCCTGTAGTTTCTAAATATAGCTGAATGTTAAATACAGTAAATGTTAAAGTGGCACTTATATTGAAAATAGTTCTGGGCACCATAATTGATAGTGCTTGTTTGGGACCTCTGAGAAGCAGATGCCCAGGACTTAGATGTGCAAAAGATATATAGTTGGCTATTCATATCTGCAGTCTTATCACTGATCACAAATGTCATTAGGCCTACAGTGGTTGCATTTGTACTGAATATCTACAATTTTTTTCTTGCAATTATTTTATAAATAATACAGCACAACAACTATTTCCATAGCATTCACACTGTGTTAGGTATTATAAGGCATCTAGAGACGTTGGAAAGTCTATTGGAGGATGTGTAAGAGTTCTGTGCAAAGGCTATACAATTTTATCTAAGGGACTTGAACATCCTCATATTTTGGTATGTACAGTGGGTCCTAGAATCAATTTTCCAGACATAGAAGAACTGTATTGGATAAACCTATATTAGAAAAAAAATTGTGCGGGAGGGAGAGGGTGCATAAGTCTGACATGTGAATGAAAAGAGGGTGGGGGAATGATGAGGGAGGAAGAGCTCCAGGGTGACTCAGTCACAGGGGAGCCCTGAGGGATGATGGGAGTTCTGGGAACTTGCATCAGGCAGAAATGGTGCAACTCTCATGTCCCCACCATGCTCAGTATGGGCTGGGAACAGCTGGGGTACATGAGATCCTGTATGAATACCATGTTGGATCCCAAGGTGTGACAATTAGAGGCAGTTAGTTATGCGCTTGTGATCTGAGACCTGTGGGAGTCACCTTCATAAGCATTTCCACCTAGAAGTTGAGGCACTGGGCCATCACTGTAGAATTTGCTAATGAGGTTTCTGTCACCTCAACTCAAACTGAATAGATCAAAGAGAAGGATGGGAGTGAGATTGACAGGATGTCAGGGAGAGGAGGGAGAGTTCACCTGTTTTATGTGAAGGAAGACATGCTTTAGGAGAGCTCCTTGGAGAACCTGGTATGTGTCACTCAGAGTGTGGGGACACTTGAGCCCAGAGCTGCTTGAGAAAGTTCAAGGACAGAGGCCAGAGTTGTATGTGACCAGAGATAAAAGACAGTGAGCTGCAGTGTCTTCAGCGTGCACTTATAGAGTTTGATGGCCAAAATGTGGGCCAGAGCAGATGTAAAGGAAGGCTTCTGGTCTGCCTACCAGGGCACTGTGCCCTGCAGTGGGTGTTTTTGAGCTGGACCAACAGAGAGGAAGCTGAAGAGGAGGCTGCAGGGGCAGGACTGAGCTCCACCGCCACCTGGGTACAGGCTTCACCAGTGGAGGGGACACAGAAATGGGAAGCAAAAGTTAGCAAGGGGGGGTGGCTTCTCCACATGGGCTTCTGGGCTTGGGTCAGGCTGGTGAATGGTGGGAGGAAACTGGAGAAGGCTAAATGGAGCAAGATTAAAGTTGATGTGGATTGGGCCAGACTTTGCAATACCAGTAAATCAGAATGTTTATTAACACCTGAGAGACAGGAAAAGCTAGAAAATCTACTTCCAGAGGAAAAGGGAAATAGGATAGAATAATTGGAAAAGACAGTAGTGTGAAAAAAGTACTATTTCATGATTTCCCTTTACCATGTAATCCAGTTTATTAAGAAAAAGAACTGGTATAAGATATTGCTCAATAATCTAAAAAAAAAGACACCCCCTAAACGACAACGACAAACAAAAAACAACTTAACTTGTGCAAAGATGGGCACCATCATTCCATCTTTATCATTGTGAATTTTTATTCCATTGTGTTTTGAACCCAGAGGCTCCAGTCTCACTTGCTTTTTCAAACCTTATAAGCTGCACTGCTTAGGGGAACCGCAACATTTCAGGTAGAACTGGCTCTCTAATAATGATAATAGTTTTTAATTTATCTATTTACTATAAGTGTGGTCAAGGCTTGCTGGAACCCTTCCAACAGTGCGTAGGCACATTTGGTGCTTCCGAAATGCAGAAATAAGCCTGCTTTTAGAGAAACGCCTGCCTATTCTGCAAGCCCTTTCAGAGACGGCTTTGGGCTCCTGTAAATTAGGAACCCTGTGCATGTAATGAGAAGCTGCTCCTCTTCTGTCCTAAGCGGAAAACCGCAGATCCCACTCCTCTAAGCCCCCCGCCCCGTGGACACCAACTCAGTCTTACTCTTTCTTTTCCCTGGTGTCTCCCGAAGCTTGGGGACAGCGCTGGCCAAGGACAGCGGCCGGTGCCGCGCCCACCCCTCTCCGGGAGCTGGAGGGCGCGCGCGCAGGAGCGAGCGCAGAGTGGCCAGCAGAGGGCGCCGAGGCTCCCGGCGGCGGGGCTGCGGTCTGTGGCGCGGGGCGAGGGGCGCGGGCCGGGAGGAGGCGCCCGGGGCTCGGCTTGTACATCTCCGGGCGGCCAGGAGGGGGTGCGCACCTCTGTCGTCCCGCGCCGCCTCCCGCGCGGTCGGCTCGCTGCCCGGCCGCTGTCACCGCGGACGGCACCTCGCGGGCAAGGCGCGCAGGGTGCGCGGCGCGCTCGGAGGCTTTGGCTTGGCGGCTGCGGGACCCGCGGCTTGGTCTTTGTCCGGACAAGGCGTCCAAGGCATCCAGAGCATCAGTCGCTACCGCGGCCGACGCGACGAGCGCCCAGCCGTGGTGCCGGAGGTCCCGGCCCGGGCGCCCGGCTGCCCCCTGCTCCCGGAGCTGGGCGGCGGCCTGGGCGTTGCCTGAGCCGAGGTGAGCGCGGGGGCGCGGAGCCCAGCGCAGCCGCCGCGGGCGAGCGTGGGCGGGCGGAGGTGACAGCTCACGGGAGCGTCTCCAGGTGCGGGGGCGCCCCGCGCTCTCCACCAGCGCCACCTCTGCTGGCTCTCTGGGCAAGTTTGTGGTCCCCTTTTGCGGAAATCTTGACCGATCAGCCAGGAGTCCAGACGTGACGGTTAATTGAAAACTCCTGCTGGGAAGGAGGAGGAGGAAGCGTGTCCAGCATGAGAGTCGTCTTGAGGTCAGCGGTGGACTCGTGTACCTCTTTCTGATCCAGGTGAGCGAATCCTCTTCTGCATGGTCCGGCGGGATTGAGCTGGTCTCTGGCGCCTGCCTTCTGGATCCGACCAGGAGACAGGTGCAGAGTTGGGGAGTGAGGCGGCCAGGCTCGGGGCAGCGCAGCATTTGTGGGCTTTTCTGTCATCAGAACATTCATTCTTTTCTACCCACATCACCTGCTCCGACTGAGACATTGCAGCCCCTTTGGCACCTTCGCGAGCTGCCAGGTTGAACACCCCCAGCTTCAGAAGCGATGGTAGGTTGGTTAAAGCGACCCCCCTCCCACCCCCAGTGTTGGATAATTTGGTCTGTGTCTTCGTCTTAATATAGTATGAATGTGTTATTTCCTCGGAGCTCCCCCCCACCCCCATTCTGAGCCTGTGCGCAGAAGGAATTTCAGGCTCACAAGTGATGTTACTACCATTCTATTTTAAATACAAACACGGGAAGAAGTACACTTGGCGAGATACCAAAGGAGCCTGTACTCCCTGTTATATAAGTGCTTTAAAAATATTTGCTCATTGGTAAAGTTATAAGTGATTACCAGAGCATCTGAGAAGAGCGCAGGAAGTCAGACCTGTAATTTCTGCTTCAACCCAAAACTTTCCTTGAAGATCAGCATGACCTTAGCGAGGGAAATCCTTTTCAGATAATATATGGCCCCTTAAAAGATTCATTAGGTAGAACTGGCAAAGTTTAAAACGCAAAACAGGTTTTGTAGAGTCTGTTATAAAAATTGGTGAGAATTCTTTTGACTACTCACTGATAGTGATAGAAAAGATCACACGGATTTCCTTTATGACTTTGAAACTATTGGATAAATTTATTTTGCCATCTGATGGAAAATTAGTAATTGTGAGTTTCCAGTTACTGAAGATTTCTCTCCTTCTCTTCCCCTCTGCTCTTATCAATAGTTATTTTTTCAGGTAAGAAGAAGACACAAGTAGAAAGCATCAAAGTGATGTCTAGGCACCCCTTTTGCCACCCTGGTATTCTGTTCTAATGGATTTGGGATAATGCCTTGGCATCTCTTAGCTTAGTAGCTCTCATGGGGATTCTCATGTATAGCCAGAAGTGACACCCGTTGGAGGGCACTGTTTCTTTTAATTTGTTACTTTGTAGCCTGAGGTGTGGCTACAGTGGTTTAAGGTAAGTAAAAAATGTGGGGTTTGAAACATGAAAAGAGAAAAATGGTATTGGAAAGAAGCTATGTTGATGAATTTTAGCATGTGTACTTATGTATTTCATCTAAATAATTTTTGACTTTTTTTTTTCCTGTCAAGAACCACTGATGTTTATCAGGGACTCATAATCCCATGTAGAATACTTATGGGAGTCCTAAGGGGGGTACAGTTCACTGAACAGAGATAGCAGTTAAAGTTGAGTAGTGGTGCCAGAATATTCTTTTATGTTTACATGATAAAATAATCAAATCTCATTAAGGACTATTTTTTTTCCTGCCAAACCAAAAACTTACCATGTTAATGCAGTATAAACTAGCCAATTAAGTGTAAAAAGCTTTTTACTGTTTTTAAGGTTGGAAGGAGATCTTACTGCTGAATCTGTTTTTGTTCTACCTTATGTAATTTCAAATCCAAACCTGGGAGCAGATCTTATGCTTTATGGTTTATGGTAGGCTTATGTAAGAACTACAACTGTGCTTTTGGTATTCCATTAAACTCCCTGTTTTGGCTATTACATAATTGACACGGAACTAGGCGGTTAAAGCCAAAATCGGGGGAGGATGCACAAACCCAGTCCCACATACACACACACAGTTTTATAATGAATTGCTGCTGCCAAATTAGAGGGAACAGCAGGGATGGTGGTTTGTGAAAGGGAGATAAGAATAGCGTCTGGAGGATTGATGTAATAGAGGACTGTTATGCTTAGTGATTCTCTAGAGATTTGAATGCGGCAGTAGAAACCTCTCCAGTCTTTTATATCTCCCAGCGGAGGGGGATTGACTGGGAAGCTAATGAATCCTAAGCTTCAGGTCCCACACCCAGGCGTCTTTGGAAGCCATGGGAGGGGCATTAGCAGTGTGCTCACATGGTCATAACTAAGTTTGCATTTGTAGTGTTGGATTGTTTTTAGATGGGAAGGATGCTCCCCCCATCCTGCAGTTATATATCTAAGGTTCCACAAACCCTGAATCTCCTCCTGCCTCCAAGTTATGTTCAAATGCTGACTTACAAAATTGCCTTTTCTTATTTTAATTTTTTTTTGGTTATGTATGAAAAGATAATAAAAGAAAAAGAAATCTGGGCCAATGTTGTAGTTGGCCTGTTGAGAAACTGCAGATTGCTCGAGCCTAGGATGGTGTGGAACTCCTGAAATCAGGACATTACCTGGAGGGAGAACCAGCTCAGTGCCTTGTCATCTTGCATGAAGGGGAGTTTTTTTGGCTCTGATTATGAGCCAGAGGTGGAGAAGAGCAGAGTAGTGGGCGGGGATGGGACAAAAGTGGGTCAAAACTCTTCCACATCTCAGAGGCAGGCTGCCAAAGGAGAAGGAAAGGAAAAAACAACTACTAAATGTTTCATTAATTAAAAGTTAATAGGAACAGATAACATCAGATCCATGGGAGGCCTTTTTATAAGCTCTATAGCTCTGTCACTGGTAGGAACTTTAAATAGTGAGCAGACACACTCAGACCTAGAAAATATCCCACAGGAGACAAAGCAGGTCAGTAGATGAGCTATGAATCAACTTGTTCTGATGAGCAGTTTTTATGAGCAAGTGAGTGTCTTGTTACATTCATCAAACCAGGTTTGTGATAGTAGCTGAAGAGTTGAGGACTTTCCCTTTTCTCCCAAATGCTTTCTACTTTGTATGTGAATTTGAATGTCTTCAGATCCTTTCTTCTTGACCCTTCCCATCAATGCATGTACCTCATGGACCCCATCCATCATCCATCATGCACCTGTCAGTCATTCACCATCCTTCATCCATCTACCCATTACCCATCCATCCATGGAGACTCTCTCCTTGACCAGACTTTAGTCAGGTTCCCCCTGTGAATGCTTTTTTCAGCTAGACTTTGACCATAGCATGCCACTTTTATAATGAATTATTTTGCCCTACCCATGCACCTAACTAAGGGACTTGAAAACTCTCTAACATGGTTTCTAGAAGCCCAAAACCATGAAGTGACACAGTCCCCCATGAGCTCCTGCCTAGAAAAAGTCAAAGTTGTCCTCAAAGAATTTAGCTTCTGTTCTAGCAAACATATAGCAGAAAAGTCTTGGCTTCTTAGAATATTCATTTAAGAAAGAAAACAAAAACTTACAATTGCAAATCCTTTCTCTATCCATTTGCCATTTACAGGGGTCTCTGTTGCCCAGGAGTCTCTTTCTCAAAGGCCTAAAAAGCCATTTCTTTGAAATGTGCTCCTCAGGAAGGATAAGGCTCTGTTTTCATTCTCTGAATGAGAATAGGACCTAACTTTGGCAAGTGTTAGTTAACAGATGCAGAGGGCCTAATTGTGTCAACACTGGCCACCCACTTCACCTGCTTTTCAGAAACTTTGACCTTTCCCTTTGAGCTGTCAGTCATTCCTCCTTACTCATTCTCCTTTTAAAGCACAGTCACCTCTGAAGGACCAAAACGGAGCTCACTTCTCAATTGAAAGCTTTGTCCTGTAGTACTGGATAAAATCTGTCTTTACTGCCTTTAACTGGTGTCTAGATTTTTTCCCCCTTATTTTATTATATATTTTTTGTGGTATAAGGATGAACCCAGAGGTGCTTAACTACTGAGCTACATTCCCAGCCCCTTTTCATATTTTGTTTAGAGACAGGGTCTCGCTAAGTTGGCTTAGTGCCTCACTAAGTTGCTAAGGCTGGCTTTGAACTTGTGATCCTCAGCCTTCCAAGATGCTGGGATTACAGGCATGCACCATAGCACCTGGCTTCCTCTCATTTAAAAGAGACCATCCGGCAAATACTTCTGAGTGTCTACGTGTGCCAGGCACTGTAGGTGTTAGGTATAGAGTAGTGAACAGAACAGACAAAAACTGTGTCCCTGAAGAACTTACAGTATAATAGAACTAGATGAATGAAGTAAAATATTTAATATCTCAGATAGGGATGGCACTATGGAAAAAAATAAATCAAAGATGGGAGAGGAAGAGTGTGGGGTAGAGAACTGTGATTTCAAGTAGGGTAATGGGGGAGAGCTCACTGAGAGGGGATGTTGAGCTGAGCCCAAAAGGTGATGGAAGAATGAGCCACATGGATGTAGGGCTTCAGGGGATGGCAATTGCAGGCCTCTGTCAAGGTGCAGCTGGCACTCATGAGGGGTGCAAGGTGCTGTGGGCAGCATGGAGGGATTTTCATGCTAATGTGCAGATAAACTGTCAGCTTGTCTCCTCCCAACACTCCTTTTTCCTCCCCACCACCTGAGACTGTGTCAAAAGCTGGTGTTGCTCTAGGAGCCTCAGGTCCTGTGGTGGCTAGGAACCAGGAGCAGCCAAGGGCTGCTCTAAGGGCATCTGGATCCAGCCTGGACCATCATCTAAAGAGGAGTAGGGAGGGAGGTTGTGTGTCTCATGGATGGCTCCCACGGGTCTGTCACCGCGTCGGGACCAGCTGGCAAGTTCCATTTCAGCTTGGAATCCCTGCATCCCCCCAGGAATACGTTAGAACTGTGACAGAAAGATAGAAGAAGGATGTTGACAGTGGGATCCTTGCTACTTTTCCCTGAGGAATGTCTGAATACCTGGAATCGAGAGCAACTTTCTGAGTAAAACTGAGCCAGAGAGAACCTCCTGGCCCAGAGGCAGCTTGAGTCGGAGGAAGAGAAATTGCTCAGTGGCTGACGGAGGCTTCTGGATGCCCGCGTGACTACCTTACGTGTGATAAGACAAACACGCACGCACACTGCACATGTGTGGACCTGGCCTGGACTCTCATGATCTCTCAGTACAGATGGTGAAGAAGCCATTGGGAGTAGAAACCTGCCTGGTTTTAGTTACAGCCTTGCTGGACACACAGG